GCCAGCCGCGCCTGCCGCGCCCCGCCCTGCCTGCACCCCTCTCTTCCAGCTGCTCTCCAAAACGCTCGCAAAAAAGGCAGATTATGAAAAAAATGATCATGAAGTTCAAGACTTTCTGCATCAAGATCAACGAAACTTGATCCCACGTATGCGCAAACCCTTTGAAGTGCTTTGTATATTATTTGATCTCAGACAGAAAAGGAAATGAATGATACGACGATTCAGATTAGCTCTTGGGCGCGTGTGCGTGCGTGCCTGAGATCCCGTGAGGAGAATGGAGAAGGGACTGCGGCGCAGCCATCCCCCGGGGGTGACTTCTCACTTTCTGTCTGTCTGTCTCTGCCTTTCTGGCGAGAGCATGCTCCCTATAGTGAGACCTCTTAAAAAGTCGACATTAATTCTTAGTGCCAGCAGGTGACGTAGTGGTTAAGGGGTGGGACTCTCACACTGCAGGGCAGAGTGCAGATCGAGTCCCGGCCCTGGAGCCTTGAAAACCACACCGGGTGTGTGTGCATGCCCAGCATCCTAAGAGGAGACTAGAGAAGACTGTAGTGTGGCCATTCCCCCCGGGGGGGGTGTGATTTCTCACTTTCTCTCTCAATGTCTCTCTCTGTATTTCTGGCAAGCACTTGCACCCTATGGGGAAAAAAAAAAGCACCACAAACACAAAACAAAACAAAACAAACGCACATGCACCCTATGGCCAAAAAAAGATTTTATTCTCTAACAAGCTTTTTCTTTGGATATACCACAAAATACTATTTTGTTTTAGATTGCTCACAGGGAAAAAAAAAAAAACATTTAAAACACTCTGACCATTTTAGGTGAGATACACCTTAACTCAGTACTACAGGTCATCTCTAATTCCTACGCTGGCTCCTGAAGACATTCAAAGAACAGATTATCTTTATTGATTTACTTTTTATCCCAACGTTCCACATATCTTTTCTAGCAAATTTTTTAAACCCTTAGCTCAAAATTATTTATGCTGCCATTCAGGTAATATTTCCCAATACCCTCTCTAGCTAAGCACACATTTACGGAAAACAGTGTTAAGCCAAGTCCTCCAAGATTTGTTAAAAGCACAAAAATGAGCTTATGTTTCTTTTAATTAACTTTCTCACAAACATTTCTGCAGTGAACCTAGCTGACCTACTCAATTCCGTATTGATTTTTAAAATGCATTGTAAAGTGAGGTCCCCTGGAGGTGTCCCACAGTCCCCGAGCGAGGCCCCCAGTGCTGACGTCCCAGGAGGGCGAGCCATGACACAGACAGGCGAGCTCTGCTCCTGGTGCTGCACGTAGCCACCCTCAGCCGGCCGCGCTGTCTGCTGGGACTGACAAGCACCTCCCCCTAAAGCGCACCTTGAAGAGTGGAGAAACGTGCGCCCGTTTCAAGGACTCCTCCAAACTGAACGAGAAAAGCACTTCCGCCTCGGCGTCCCGGAGGGTGTAGTTCTGCTCATCTGCAAACACAAAGGCGCCCTCTGAGAAAAGCGGGAGTGGGGGGGGCAGGAGCAGGGGCGGGGCGGGCCCTGGCCCCCCCTGGCTTGGGTCTGTGTCACTCTGGCTACCTTTACCGCACCACCTTCCATGGGTACTGTGTCTCCCTTTATTTCATTTACTTCCACCAAAGAGCAGCCGCCAAAGAGACAGACAGGTACTCTGCCCTCTAGGTGCGGGGTAGTTACCCTCGGGCCACACACTTTCTTGACAAGGTCCTGAAAGCTAAGGGTGCTCCTGGGTGGCTGCACCATGTACTGCTCCACCCCCACAGACCCCAGAAGTCCAGCCTGAGGGTGACCAGCTGTAGGTGGCCATCATTCCCAACGGTGTACATAATGACCAATTCCTCAGTGCTTTGAAGGACTTGAGAATGAATTAGCTAAGAATCACTTGGAGGAATTTACCAACCTCCTTACTCATCAAAACTGCATTTTTTCAACACGTAAAAGGGTATAGGGCCGGCTCCACGGAGCAATGGAAACACATAGCCCAACAGGCCGGTCCCACATAGTGACTATCGCTCCAGACCCTGGCCTGGTCGGTCCATAACACACTAGGCACATGTGCAAGTGCCTGAGATTCGGCCGGTCGGGCTGGGCCTAGAGCAAGCGGATTGTGGCAGGCCCACGCCCTGTGCAGAATGCTCCCAACTGACGCCTCTGGCAGGCACTACCGCAGAAAGGAAAAAGCCCTTACAAAAAGTGAGGCCAGCAGGTGGCGTGGTGGTTAAAGCACTGGACTCCACTGAGGTTCAAGCCCCAGACCTGGTGGCTTGCTTTCTCATTTCCCTCTCTCTGTCTTTCTCTGGTGAGCACACGTACCCTACAGCAAATTAAAATAACGATAATAAAATTAAGTAATTCTTTTCTAAAAGAAAAGTATACAGCAGCAATATAAAAAGGATAGTTTTACCAGTTTCTGAAGACTTGCGATGTGTTTTAAACGGGGTCTTGCTAATCCTCAGCCCTCCTGCCTCAGCCCCTGGAGTGGCACCACCACTACCACGTAGGGGAAAGGCTTTGACACCTTTCCAACCATGTGTGAGGTGTGCCTCGGGCGGGCCTCACACGCCAGTCCTGCCTCGGCCCCGAGCAGCTGCAGTGCTGCCTACACTGGCTGAGTGCCGAGCCTAGGCCTCCCATGCAGTCTCGGCTCTGGGGCAGTAGCACCCACCAGCATGCACCACTGTGGCTGGGCCCACTCCTGACCATGTGCAACTTACGGGTTTCCAGAGCGGCATTTTAAGAAACCTGTCCAAACTTAAGATCAGGAAGTTGTCGTCCTCCTATGAGGGGGCCTCATGCTCAGGAGAGCATGTGGCCTTCTCCACTCCATCATGACATGTGGCCCGAGGATGGCTCGGACCAATGGCCTACGCATTTGCCGAAAGCAGAGAACAGGCAGGAGCCTCACCGGGCAGCCAGGGGCCATACCACAAGCCGGGGGCTGCATGCCTGCTCTCGCCCTCGCTCTTCTCTAACATGCTTTAAAGACTACCAACGGCTCTGGTGCACAGGCCAGGCCCGAGCCGGGCAAGAGCGGCCATCACCACAGCATGACGACCTACCCACCGATGGCTAGACAAGAGGTCCACCCGCTGTCCCCCACTGTCACCTAAGGCCACTGTACATTTTCAAGTGCAAGAAGATAAGAATGACTAAATACTGGAGAGGTGTGGGAGTCCAAAATAAACAAGATGACACATTCACGTGAAGGGACAGGTTGGAAACCTTCACTTCCAGGGCAAAAATCCAGGCTGACTCGCCTTGGAGCGGGATGCTGAGGAGCTGCTGAGAACTGGTCCGTGATGGAGAATGTGCTGGAGAAAGAAGCGAGCAGCTGAGGCAACCTGTCAAGGGCAGGGCGCCACCATTCGGGGTGTGCTTTTCTTTTTAAATAATTATTGTATAAATTATTTATTTATTTAAATTTGACCAGAGAAGAACAGAGAGAGAGAAAAGGAAAGTGAGAAAGCAAGCCTCTTGGTCCAGGACTAGAACCATGGTCGGCCATGTGGGAGTCCAGTGCCCTTAGCCACCATGCCACCTGCTGGCCCCCAGTCCGGTTGCTTAAAAGGAGTGACAGGGTTGTGTTAACTGGGTAGAGGTCTGTGGGGAGAGGTACACATCTCACAGAAGCACAGACAACACAGGTATTCCAGAAAGTGGCTTCTATGGCATCAGCATCCCAAACTTTATGTAAATGAAATAGAAATACAAAATTCCAAAATCACGCTCCTCCAAAAATAAATAAATAAATAAAGGAAAAAAGCCAAACCGATTTTTAAAAATTTTTAAAAAGGTGAAGATGAGTAAAAGTCATAAATGAATCAGGAAACAGAATTTCAGGTACTAACTGCTAGAAAGAATAAGCTAAGCCAATAATCTCTTGAGAAATTTCAAGAAAAACCTGAAAATATAAACTATCAAAATGAACTATTTTTAAACACCTCTTTATAAAAATAAATTACTGCATTATCAATAAACTCAAGTTTATTACGAACAGGCAAAAGGCCCAGAACAGCCACGTCCACACTGAAGGGAAGACCAGTCAGAGGACCAAGACAGACCCTGGGACGTTCGGAAGCTACAGTACTTGGGGTAGTGGGCAGCACCGGCAGGATGGACACACGGACCAGGGCCTGAGCAGAACCCAACCATCTGCCTGACCACGTGCCAGCGGCCCAGCCGCAGACTGATGCCCGGCCATGGCCGCGGCCCGGCTGCTGCTACTGACCGATGAACTTCTGACACTTGAAGCACTCCTCCAGCCACTCCGGCGTCACTATGTGCTTCACGACAGAGATGGCCGTCAGGAACTTGACGGTGCGCGTCACCTTGCTGGCGATGAGGTGTGTGCACTTCTGGGCAGACTCGGCAACCTCGCCTCCGAGGATGTAGAGCTTCTAGAGTCACAAACACAGTCAGAGGTGAGAACGTGGACAGCCCCGGGGTCAGGTCCACACGGCATGACAGGCGGACACCACTTCAGGACAGGGTTACCAAGGCAATTCCCAGCCACAGAGGACAAAGCCGACCTCGAGACTACAGAATTCCAGCTCCTGCAGCCGGCTGCACGTGAACCGAGACTCAGACCTGACTTCTCCATCAGGCGGACACATCGATTCGCGCAAGTGAAAGGTGCAAGAGCAATGCAGTTCTCTTCCCAGCACGCCTCCACAGGCTCGGCCTGCGCGGAGGCCTGGCGGAGGAGCCTCTGCACGCCACCTCGTCCTCACGCACTGCGCACCAACTGGCCGAGACAGAGCCAGTGAGGAGGGACCTGCTGGCAACTACACTCGTACTTGGACGTGGAAAAACCAGGTTGTGCTGTTTATAAGGCAGCACTGTGGTCATTCCTTTTCCTTAAAAACAATGAATAGAAGTAGACCAGTCCCACATGGCCGGCTGCACATTTTGAGTCCCAGGCCTGGCAGCACAAGAAATATACTAGTTACAGGACCAGCAGTTGGCATAATGGCTATGTCAGTGGACTCTCACATAGTTAACCGCAGTTCGAGTCCTGGACCCGGTGGCTTAAACTCCCGCCAGGCGGGCGTGTGTGTGTGCCCAGGATCCCAAGAGGAGAATGGAGAAGGAACTGTGGCGTGGCCATCCCCCCGGGGGGTGATTTCTCGCTTTCTGCCTCTCTGTCTCTCTCTTTCTGGTGAGTGCACGCCCCTTATAGCAAATATCTCTCAAAAAAAAAAAAAAAAAGACCGGAAAGGAAGGAGAGGTGGGCGAGAAGGGCTGTGGTGGGACCGTGTGTGGGGACATGGGGGTGCTTCCCCCTCCCTCTCTCTGGTGAACGTATGTGCCCTCTACCACACACAGTGACAGGAGCAAAACACAGCATCCTAACACGACACCGCTTTTGCCATAGGGCGCATGCACTCACTGGAGGCAGAGGAAGACGGTGAAAGGGGAAGTGAGAAATCACCCCCCAAGGCAGATGGCCACGCTACCATCCCTTCTCCTCCACTCTCCTCCTAGGACTTTGGGCACACACACGGCGTGATTTTCAAGTTGCTGGGTTCAGGACTCAAACTGTGGTCGGCCATATGGGAGTCCAGAACCCCAACCACTACACCACCTGCTGGCCCCGCAAGGTAACACTCTTAGCCCTGTACCACACCGGTAAGTGCAGGCCGAGCTGTGGTGGCACGAGGGGGGCACTGCCTTGCAATGCTGGGACCGTGGTCGATTTAGGGTTCAGGTCCAGGACACACTGGTCGCTGGAGGGCCAGTGGGGCGAGGGTGGGGAGGACTGCACCGTGTTAAGACCATGCTGGGCTACCTACCCGCCCTTTCTGTCTCGTGGGGAGAAACAAATCCACTTAAAATAAGTAAGTCAATAAATAAATAAAACCCCATCATCCCTTTGGCTATTTCACAAAGCGCATGTAAAATCCTGTTCCCATTTATCTAAGCAAATTCAGTAGCCCCGCACCTCACCCCGCCCAGAAAGATAACCCTGGCTAGACTGCTTTGCTCAGAGACCTGGAGAGGCGAAGCCCCACCTAGCCAGGTCTTCCTGGAGATGGCATTGACAGCCTTGTGGGTGTCCACACGGCCGTGAACGCGGCTCTCGGCCCGCACAGCTCGGTCGTGCTGTTCCACTAGCAAGGAAGCGAGCACTGGGGTAGGACACGGCAGGCAGCACTGACAACTTAGTGACGTAATTACTATGCAGGCTACTAAAAGCATGTCGTGAACATGCATGATAAAGCCTGTCACGGCCAGACCCCGCTCCGACATGCCAGTGCGCCCAGCCGCTCCCTGAAGGGAGCACACTCCCGCCGTCCCACGAGGCAGCTGCCCCGTCACCTTGATGTACTGCTGA